GCAACTGTTTACATACAATACATTCAACTTTATAGCTTTTTTATATCAAAGATTTTGCTCGATTGTGTCACATGCCCCGCGCTATTGTTGGGGGCTCACAGATGACAGTTGCCACCCCGAACTGGATGTGGCCCTCAAAAGCACATGACAACTCGGCTGATTGCGCACATCAACACGTTGCCAATCAGCCGGCGCCCAGCATCAAAGCAAGCTCCCTCGCATACTCGGTCCTATAATGAAATCAAAGTCGTGGAGCAAAAAGGTGAGAGTTAGATTGTTTTGACATTACTTTCAAATGTCAATCGCCTGAGATTTTGCTTCTCCCTCCTTGACTTGGCGTAAATCGAATTGAGAGACGCTTTTGCGCTGTGCCATTTGGTCAAATGCGATAAAAGTCGTAAATGCAATCAAATTTAATGAGCTTGCCAGGAGAATGAGCCTAGCAACAGCTGAGGGTGGATTTGCCTTTTGTGTTGATTATCAAAGTAATTTTTAGCTCAGGCCCAACAGGTTGTCAATGGCTTTTTGCTAAGCCTATCGATTACACTGTGCTGCATATTTTCATAAATATGTGAACATTATCAATAATATTTTCAATAGAAAAATATTTAAAATATTTTGTTAAAACCTTAAAGTTTTATAAAATTGATAAGATATTTCGATAGTCTTATGTGTTAGTTATCAGAATATTAATTTCTATATTTTTGTATGCGTTTCATTTATTGATCAATTAAATGTTAAAATTTATTTTAATTCCAAATTAATATTTCCTTGCAAACTGAATACATTAAAACACTTTAGTCCATACTAAAATCTAGTTTATTCTCGAACTTATATTTTTTCAAAATTAAATTCAAGAAAAAATGTTGTTGCTGCTATTGATTGATAACTACCAAAACTCTGTTGACCTGTGTTATTAAACACACCTGAATAAGTTTTAAGGCACAAAGTGTCTAAAGCTTCAAAGCTGTAAAGCTGCTTTAAGTAACTGGAAACCAAGAGATAAAACACACATCGACCTTTCTTTCAATTTTTTGTTCATACTTTCTTTTACTGCTGTCAGACAACATGGCTGTCGTTCGATTAAACATAAATTTTGTTGTGTTAAGAGCTCGCATCACTTTGGCACCTGTGAATGTGTGTACCTATGTACATATATAGGGAGTTGTTATATATAGGTAGCATGCAAATTCCAATAAACTAAAGTACCCAAGTCGCGACATTTGATAAGGAACAGAGCACAACAGACACAAAAAGTTGAGAAACAACCCCCAAGCGGCATTTTTCGTTAGCATTTCTGACAAGCTATAAAATTTTTATCAGCATTACTTTTATTTTGACATTTCACTGACATTTCACAAAAGTACTCGCAGCCAAATGCCTTCAGACAGGCAAGATAAGAGCAAAACGTTGGGCGGTCTCTTGCCACTGGGCGTGGCATTTGGCCAGGGCGCAAGTTTTGTTTGGCAAGCGCTTTTTCATTTACCAAATGGCAATTGACCTTTTTCTTTTCCTAGACAACCAAATTGATTTCCAGCACGATTTGTCAACCCCTTTTGAGTGTGTAGCAACATGAGGGGGGGGGGGGGGGTCTGGGATCTGTAAGGCCTATACAAAACTAAAATTTATCAGGTCAACAAATTTTGTTTACGCACCAAAATCTGTAGCCCGCTGTCGCTGACAAGGGTGTCGACGCCAATTATGCATACAGCAGGGGGAGGGTTAGGCTGGTCACGACGGGGCTGTGTCAACCTGTTGTTGTTTTGGCCGGGCCGCTCTTGAAGGCACTTTCATTTTCAATTAGTTTGGCCCAGTGTGGGCGTGTCACTTTCAACGCCTCGAACACAACACGAAATGGGCCCACGACGGGTCCGTTCCGGCCAGAAATGTCTGCTGTTGAAAAGGGTAAAAGTAACGCCGTCGCCTGCCGTCAGCCGCTTAATGTTTATTATTATTATTGCATACTTTTTGGGAGGGCTGGACGGTCCCGCCTGGCCCCGCTGATAAGCCGTAATGTGTTGCGGTGTTTCAATAAAACTTTATCATAATTGACATTTTAATGGTGCTAGCAAAAAAAATAAGTGCGAAAATGTTGCATATTCGCTGCCGCTTAAAGCTGTAATTTTATATTTATGTAGCAGTAGATACGGGCTTAAAAAGTATCCGGGGTCTCATAAATATGACAAAAAAGGTGTATAATATGTGATAAGTGTGTGGAAAAAAGCATAAAGAGCAGAACAAATGCTAGCACTTTTTATATAATAGCGATTTCTGCAAGTGGCAGAAACAGTTACTAACACAGAATTGAGTAATATAAGTTTTTATAATGTCCCAAGTTCTTAATTTGTTTAATAAAAATATTGATATTTAAATTTATAAAAATAAATTTAAATATGTCCTCGCCCACCTTTTAAAAGAATGAAGGAGCTTGAGAAAATATCTTGATTAGAAAAAATCTATATAAAATTAAAAAAATAATTATTATTACAAATAGTAAAAATAAAATAATACAAATAATTTAAATGCACTAAAAACTACTTGATACCAAATTTAAATTGCTAAATATATATAAAAGTAATAAAACGGATTTGAAAACAAATGAAGTTAATATTTAAAAGGAAGCTTCAATATAACGCCCAATTGTCATAATAACATAATGAATAATAATATAATAAATATATATTATAAATATGAAAGCAAAAAAAAAACAAAAAGTAATGAAAATTGAAAAACAATGTTAATCAACTAAAAACTATTACAAAGGCATAACAATAAATTTAAAATTTATTCATTCAATTTTTTTGCTAATTGCATTTAATTGACAATTTGCTGCCAGAGGATGTTGGGTCGCTGCGTTAGTTACCAGGGCTCCTGCGATAATATCAATGGCATATTGACGCGCGACTACGCAAAGGTTTGTATGACAAAGAGAAAATTGTAGGGCGTAAAATTGATTAGTCAATGAAAATTGTTTAACACTATTACACACTCTACATTTTACACTTTACAGCACTAAATGAATTTTAGTTACATTTTGTCTTTTACAGCCCCAAGAAATGTGTGTGTGTGTGTGTGTGTGTGTGAAAGCAGGCGACAAAGACAAAGAGATAGAAAGAGAAGGGCAGATCCTGACATATTTGCCACACACACACACACACACACATATGTGTGTGCCTGTGCAGATGGTCTTTATAAAGCTAGACAACTCAACTGTTTATTGTTGTTTGGTTACAGTCAAGGCAAAAGGCAAAACAAAGCTGGACCAGAACTTGGACCACAACCAGTCGATTCCTTTGCTGTTTGTTGTGGGTGCCCCATTCGGTTAGACCCCAGGCAGCATATTTGTGGCATTGGCTTAGCCGGGTTTTTAGCCAGTTGTTCTGTGTAAATCCAGGACCATTGCCACTGACAGTGACAGTTACAGTTGCCATTGCCATTGCCGTTGCACTTGCCATTGCGTTTGCTCAGTTATTTTCCAGCGGGCAAGTTTTCACTTTATTTTGTCCAAGTCAAAGCCAAATCCAAAGCCAAAGTCCAAGCCTGAGCCTAAAACCCTCCCGGCGTAGCAATGCACAGACGCAACTGCAAAAAAAAAATTACATAAGCTCAAAGTCTAGGCCAGGCCATTGTTAAGTATATGCCTCTCCCCCACTTTTATAACAACTCTAAGGCTCACTCGTAACTCGGGCACAAAATAGAGAGACAGAACAAGCAACAGACCGATAGACAAAAAAAAAAAAAGAGATAGACAAACAGTTCCGTCTGTATGGAAAAAATACAATGCCAGCTATTTTTATTGCCAAGTAAAGCGCACATAAAATGTGTCGCATGCATATGCGAAGGAAAACTGGCAAATGGGAAATAGAAGATGGAAAATGGCTGTGCCAGAGAATTAGCAGGATGAGCTATAATAAAAACTATGCAAGGATGTGGCTAACGATGTGTACAAACGGCAAAGCTCTACGCAGCAGCAGTGCGACAAACCAAAAGGAAAGTCCAGAGAGCAGAATTTTCCTACTTTGTGGAAGACCAAGAAAATGCAACAATCATAATTAAATAAATGTTGCTGCTACATATTAAATCATGGGCAAAATGTATATACCCAAACAGCATTAGAGCTTCTAAGGGAATTAAAAATATGACACAGAAAAAAAACTATTGTACATAAATCTAACTTTAAGCTGTGGCGAAGATAAAACAATTGCAAACAAATTTAAAAAAAGCCAAACTATAGCAATAATAAATTAACTAAGCTTTTTAGGAATATATTAAGGTAGCATAAACCCTGAAGCACACATTGGTTATCTTATTCTTAAACAACTATGTTTATTTTCCAATCGTTATGAACTCTGCAGGGCTTTAAAATGACACTTTTATAAATTATATATTTCCCTAATTATGTGAAAATATGAAAGATACCTAAGATGAAGTACTTCTGGACCACACATGCAACTCTTTTTGGACAATGCCTGCAGGGTATACAAATATGTTTGCGAAGTGCAATTGTATGAATATACAAATTTCATGTCCTGCATCTTCTCAGACAGCTTACAACATATCCTTTCTGGCATATTCCACACTTAGATCAAATGACAAAAGTCTTGTCGTAATAATAATACGATAAAAACTGAGTGACACACACACTTATACACACACACACACACAACGCATCGTCGCACAGATTTTCTTAACGACTTTCCCTTTGAAGGATATTTTGGCCACTGAATGGCTGGAGTTTAATTTGTTTGCCGAGTAAACTGCAGGCTGGCAAATATTTTGTGCATATGCTGTCTAGCGCTGTCGAGAGATTTTTGCTGCTAATGATTTCCTGATAGCCCAGCCAAAGGCAGTTGCACAGTGGCTGCAACTTGTGCAATATGAGCAGCTGTCGGAAAGTGTCCAAAAATTCTTAATTACTGCAGTCAATGGCCATTTAAATGTCATTTAATCTTTACAAAATGCAAATATAAAAGAAATCTAACTACTTTTATTTGTTTCAGATCTACACGGACTGGGCTAACTATTATTTGGAGCGTGCCAAGTCGAAGCGAAAGGTCACAGATCTTTCCGCCGACTGTCGCGATGGCCTGCTCCTCGCTGAGGTCATCGAGGCAGTTACCAACTTTAAAGTTCCCGATTTAGTGAAGAAACCAAAGAATCAACAGCAAATGGTAAGTGAGAAAACTTATTTAAAAGTATAAAATGTCAAGTAAAGTGCGGGGATAGTTTTTGTAGGAAAGTTTATTTCTGCGAAGTGAGTTTATATGGATATACTTGATATTTTTCTTATATGTATGATTCTTAAGAGGCTGACATTTTCTTATTTCAAATTAGTTTTCAAGAATCGGCTTGAATGATTTTATTATCGGTCATGAATTTGATTAAAGCTTATGACTAATATACAAAAAGCATAAAACTGACTTAACTTGACTTTGATATAATTTAAAATGACTTTAAACGCTGAAAAATGAATTTTCCTATTAAATTATGTTAATGCTATAATCATGCTTGTCAAATCTGTAAATATATTTGGCATACAAATTTAGATCTAGCCAAATTTTTATTGTCATGCAGTATAGCACATATCATTCGAATGATATCATTTGCTGACTTCATTAACGTTCTCGCATATCATTAACTGCGACCAAACCTTTGGCACGTCACAATTCCAGCTCTTTTTCTTTCCGTTGGGCAATTGCCACTGCCTTAACCTTTGACTTAAAGCTCCGTCAACCCCTGCACTTTGGCCCCGAACACACCTTCAACCCCATGGCCTTTTGTGGACTTCAACCACATTCGCGCACGTGGGAAATTCGAGCGCTTGAATTTTCAGTCAGCAGCTCATGAGTCACTCCTTTTTGCGGGAAATGCGTTAATTGTTTTTCAGGCGGATTCATGTAAATGCGATTCAAACGTGAAAGTATTTTCATATATATATATGTATATATATGTGTGAAAAGCAGCGCATATTTCGTTGTGTGTGTGACATCACGTGGTTTTCGTGCATTCGTCAACTCGAGCTGACTAACTGCTTAACTGACTGACTGACTGTCTGCCTAGACTAGTGCTGTGCACTTTTCAGATGTAAATAAAATCCAGTTCTAATGGGGAAAAATTATTATAAATTATAAATAATTACACCTTTAAACTGCTCGTTTAATAAAAGTAAGAGTTCAAGTATAAAAAATAATAATAAAATAAATGTGTCTCTATTATTTTAATACATTTTTGTTAAACTCAAAAGCTGTCGGAAGGCAGGTTGTTTATTTTGAAAAAGTTAGAATGCAGCCAAATTTGACGGGAAACAAGCTAAAGGCACAACACTATCCCAAACCCAGGCATAGCATACGGCCTTTTACTTTTTTGTTGGGCCCTGGCTTGCCTTTTGCACGTTCGTACCACGGGGCGTATGACAAACCATATGCACAGCTCGTGGAAATTCAGTTAGACCGAATCTCTGTCCGTAAATGATTTCCGCCGCGCTGAGCATTCGCCACCTGCTGCTCTGATTCGATTTGGATTTGGATTTGAGCTCAGCTGCACTTCATTGCATTTATGAAATTAAAATTAAAAACTTTGCCGGCTGCCTTTGCAACGTTTTTAAATTAACGCTAAGCGCACTTTTTTTTACTTTTCTTTATTTTCTCTTTGCTTGTCTGCAATTGCGTTGCGTTTTTTTTTTGTCTGCTACGTGAGCGGCGTTTCAAGCACTGAATCAAGCGACGCACAGAAGTAGACTATATATGTATTTAGACTATATATATATATTTTGATTCTCTCTGGTGTCTTTCGGTGCGCCTCGAGCCTAGTTAGAAGGAGCACAAACAAAGGCGGACGCTGCGGCTGCGGCTCTCGCTGTTGCTGCCTTGGCACATTTTTATACCCTGTAGCTATTGAAAATGTATACAAGAGGGTATATTGTAGTCGGAAAGAAGCAGGCAGTATAAATATCTGCTGATCAAGGAAATTCAGCTATACCTCGTCTGTATGAGTCCATTAATCTTGAATTCTTTAGGAGCTAAAGAAACCAACGTAGCAACATTTAATATATTTTATTTTCGACAACTTTTTTTTTTTTTCTCAAGATCTATTTATACCGATTTCAACTTTCATTTTCCAAACATGACTCGAGGAATATAGGACGCTGCGAATTATTATATATTTATTTTATTTATTTTTTTCCTTACAATTATTTTAAGAACACTTTTGCGAAATATTTTAATATACTGTATGGACATAATCAATACAGAATAAATGTTAAGCAGCTGTTTACAGGGTATCTGCCCAGTCGTGTACTCATGGCCAGAGTGCTTTTACTTGTTATAGATGTTTTTTTCGGGGGTTTTTCGTTTTCGCTCTGCGGCAAGTTCATTGCCGATTTAGGAACACAAACAGAGTCCATGAAATAAAAATTTATTTCAACTTTGTCAGTTTTTTTTTTTTGGCAAACTGACGTTTTGCATATTAAATAGCCAAGCAGCTAGAAAGTAAGGAGAGGGAGAGAGTGAGTTGGAGCGAGCGGAAAAGAGTCGCGCTTTGAGAAAATGATAAGCTAAGCTAAACGTGCGATGTGGCACGTGCTGCAGCAAAACCTGACAAATTGGCAGTGCTCCCAACTGTGGGCGTGGCCCGCGTTGACGTATGTGACATGGGCGCCAAATTGAGTTAGCTGCACTGCACTGCATTTTAGCGAGCGGGCGTCTAGGGGCTGGTGTACGAACAGCCACTCCTGGCGCAAACTCAATTTGGAAATGGCTGTGTAGGAATTTTGCAGCCAAAATTAGTCGGTAGCATACGAAATGTTTTTGTTCAAATTTCATCGCGCTATAGCAGCGTGCGAGTGTTAGTGAGTGTGTGTGCGAGAATGTTAGTGAGTGTGTGTGGCAAATATAATTCCCGAGGCTCTATGAATATTTACAAATATCTACGGGGTTTTTTGTTGGCCAGCGAAATATCAGCTGAAAATACGGTGTGAAAAATAGGTGAGATTTTCATTTCCACCAAATAGATGCTCTACCATAGAATTTCTTTAGATGCGAAAGTCAATTCACTTGATTTGATGATATCTAAATAAAAGCAAACATTTTTTTAATAAGTTTTGACACTCTGAAGTGCTTAAATTTGTTGGATCCAATGACTTATAAGCGATATAAGAAAAGTACCCGTTTTATCAATAGTCGACTTCTTTTTAAAATAGTTGTATTTGTATATGTGTCAAAGATGTCAAAGCCCTGTTACTAGAAGCTAGAAGGAAAGTTCGAACCGTAAACTAACTTATTTGCAGTCATAAAGCTTTAACAGTTCACTAGTTCAAGTTTAGCTCAATATAGGAGGTTTATGGGTTAAAGTGTTGGTTGGTAAGACTTCCAATTTAATATTTCAATTTTCATATTTCTCGTATCTCGTTCACATGCCTCTTTGCTTGGAAGTCAACAGCTCAGTTTGAGCTTCGCATTCGGGCTTTATGTTTCCGTATGCCTTCTGTTTTTGCAGGCTTCATCTCCAAATTAGTATGCTCTCTATCATAGCCAGGCTCATAACAATGCAGAGTGATTCTGCTGCTGCTGCTGCTGCTGCTTCTGCTGCTGCTGTTGGCCGCGTTTTCCATTTCAGCGCAAACAAACAAAGGCATTTGGAAAATTTTCCCATTTTCATGGTGCACTTTTTTTTGTCTTTGCTCTGTGCGGCAGCTCGCCCATTGTTGCGTTTCGTTTTCAGTTTGTTTTTCATATTTGCACGGCGAAATGAAAAATCAACGCGCTAGCTGAGACACAAGCCAAGCAACCCCTTAGTGGAGCGCCTGCATAAATTCAGTGCAAGACACATTCAAATAAATTCAATAAAAACAAATAACACGCCGAGCGTCTAGTTTGAGTGTGGACTAAAGTAAATTTTATCAACTTTTAAATCAAATATTAAACTTTTACTTAGTTTTCTTTCTTTGGCGCGTGTTTCACTCCAAAGTTTGTAATAAACTTTTTCTCAGTTTACTTTTTTTATTTTCTCCCTCTTTTTTTCCTTTTTCCTGCTACTTTGGCGCAAACTTTACATGCACTTTTTTTTGTGACTAACCCCCTTTGCTGCACGTTCTGCAATTTTTTACCACTTTCGTAACGTTTTTCTAATGAGTGACGACGACAACGGAGCGAAGAGCTGGCAATGTAGTCAAATGTGGGCAAGAATCACACACAGGACGCTCAACCCGGTGCTCGGGCAACTCGTATGCTGCTACCCGGGGTAGCAAAAAAAAAAAACGAAGTGCAACTCTCGAAAAATCAGCGAAACGTAAAAGTGTTCAAAGTCAACTTTGACGGCGGCAGTTGCCAATGCTTTCTAAAAATGCCGGGCAAAATTAAAGAGTCAAAACAAACGGCCTTTAAAACGAAGTTAGAAAGTTAGGGCTGGCAACTAGAAGTAAAAACCGACAACAAATTTAAAATCGTTTTCAAAACAATTGGAAGCAAACCTTCATGGCGAACCAGTAGTTCTTCAACTAGTTCGGGTAACAGTTTAATGAACATACGTTATATAGATATCTATAGTATGTATTTTCTGGTGAATCAGTAAAGCAATTCAAGCTCCAATTAAACATAATCCCCAACTATACGTTAAGGTATTTTAAAAGTAATTATCACTCAGTTGGAAAAGTTCAGCTGGAACTAGTTCTTAAGTGCTTTCTAAACATTAGCACGTAATCTTTCTAAAGCACTTTATGCTATATTTGACTTTTTTTAAACCATTTGCTTACAATTGTTTATCCTCCTTTTAAAGTCTGGCAAATCCGCTTGCTGCTATGGCAAAAGGCAATTTGTGCAAATTTCACAATGAATTTTACTAAGGCACTAATTTGATTTTGCCTGGGCAACACCAGTGCTTCTTGCCCCGCTCTCTGTCTTTCTCTCTCTAACCTTCTTCTTTGTCCTTAAGCAGCATGTAAAAGCTGCAAACCTAAGGTAAAAGCCAGGAGGCCAGGCGGAAAACTCAAGCGCACACACTCACACACACATGTGAACGTTTTTCCAATCAAATATGTAAATAACACACGAGCAAAACGTAAAATCTTAAAAGGGAAATTAAATCAAAATAAGCTCCGGCTGCGTCTTATATAATTGGCCATCTTGGGCTGTCTGGGGATCTGTTTTCCAGTTTTGGTTCTCGTTTTGGGCTCTGT